GGGACCTTAAAATAGTGACTTGTTGCTGCCCCTCACGACCACAGGGAACATCTGTGGCTGGGGCCCCAACAACATGCAAAGGGCCATACCAAGGGGCCCTCTCAGCCTCGGACCAAATCATGCTCAGTGAGCTTCCATCATGGGCCATCTATTGAAATGAATGATTTTGGGACTTGAAAGGGAACAGCCCACAAGCACAACTCCCTCTGTCTAGCAATAATATCATAAGAATCAAGCAACTGACGATTTGTTGCCCCTACACAGCATCTCTAATCTACTGCCTGAATTGGCTGCCTGATTCTTCCTGCTAATAGGGCTGGAGTCAGAATTTTCATATCTCTACCAGCTCCACAAGTGGCAGAATCAACATGTCTCTACTCAGGATTTAGAAGGGCCATTCTAGTCCAACCAATATTTTCAACCCACCATTTTTTTTGAAAAAAACTTGTCTATAACTTGTTGATTAAGTATGTGTTGTTACATTACCATTTTAAATTCCACCATGGAATCTAACAATCTCTGCTTGTCTATGGTAGCTGTCTAAGAAAGAAGAAGGCTGAATGCAATGGATACAGAACTGGAAATTCATTCATCCATTCATTTTCCTTTTCTCCAGAATGGTGCCATGATGGAGCTCCAGTTTCTGCTGAATTTCTACTTGACATGCAGCTGTCAAATCAGAAAGCCTCCATCATGAGGAGAAAAGGGGGTAACACTGCTAGATCATAACCTCAGACCAAATCCCTCTCTTGACCAAACCCAATGTATTCATGCTGCTGCTGCTGCGACTTCGTCCTTCCTGCTTCTGCTTCTTCGTGGCAAATACTTCCAGACAAATGTTCCAGCAAAGCACCTTGTTTCTGGCCAACGGGAAATGGCATTTGTCTGAAGAACTTTACTGGAACAATCTTTGGGCTTTACAACTCTCCTCCCCCAGGCTTCTGCTTCAAAGTCCCAAATTGCCTCCCTTCCATTGCAGCCGTTCCTTTATCTTGTCAGTTTTGCAAAGAGATTTGGCAGGTGATATAAACAAGAAATGCTGGTTGAAAGGGTGACTTACTCAATCAGCGTCCATAGCAATGGTGTACATGTATCACTTGCCTACAGGTTTCCAAAGATGGGTTCATTGCATGCAGCAGAATAGTGTGGCTGAAAACCCATTTCAC